GTGAAAAAAAGGAAGGGGTCTGAATACTTTCCGAATGCAGTGTATAACTAGGAATAAAGTGACAGACAGTAGCAGCAGCGTATGTGATTAGACAAAGTTTGTGCAAAAAGGTCAATGCAGATAGTCCTGGTAGCTATTTGGTTAACTATTTAACTGACTATTTAGCAGTGTTATGGCTTGGGGGTAGAAGCTGTTCAAGGTCCTATTAGTTCCAGATTTGCTGCATCGGTAGTGCTTGCAGTGCGGTAGCAGAGAGAACAGTGTATGACTTGGGTTACTGTAGTCTTTGACCATTTTTAGGGCCCTCCTCTAACACAGCCTGGTATAGGTTTCCTGGATGGCAGGGAGCTCGGTCCCAGTGATGTACTGGGCTATACACACTACCCTCTGTAGCGCCTTGCGGTCGTATGCCAAGCAGTTGCCATACCAAGTGGTGATGCAGCCAGTGGACACAGAGGAACTTGAAGCATTGCAGTCATTGGTGAACAGGGAGTACAGGAGGGGACTAAGCACCCACCCCTGAGGGGCCTCATTGTTGAGGGTCAGTGTGGCGGATGTGTTGTTGCCTAACTTCACCTCCTGGGGGCAAGCCGTCAGGAAGTCCAGGACCGAGTTGCAGAGGGAGGTGTTCAGTCCCAGGGTCCTTAGCTTATTTGATGAGCTTGAGAGGCACTATAGTGTTGAACGCCGATCTATAGTCACATAGGTGTTCTTCTTGTCCAGGTGGGAAAGGTAAGTGTGGAGTGCAATAGAGATTGCGTCATCTGTGGATCTGTATGCGAATTGGAGTGGGTCCAGGGTGTCTAGGATGAATGTGTTGATGTTTCCATGACCAGCCTTTCAAAGCATTTCATGGCTACAGATTTGAGTGACAGATTACCTTGGCATTCTTGGGCACAGGAACTACGGCTTGAAACATAAGTATTGTATACTCATATTACTTGCCAGCTGGTCAGTGCATGCTCCGAGAACGCATCCTGGTAATCCGTCTGGCCCTACGGCCTTGTACAAATGTCTTACTCACAAGTTCCATAGATCCCCATCTGCTACATTCACCCCCTAAACTCACTCCACACCGACCCCAGTGGTGAACCAGCGCAACTGTAGATCCGAGTCCAGTGGCACCACTCTGCCTGCTTAGCAAGTACTGCTTCCTCCTGTTTCAGCTCATATGGAGACTCGAACTCAGGTCTTCTGCCTCACACACGTGATCATCCTCCTGAAGCGTTCCAACCCATTGTGCTACAGTGGGGAGAACAAGTATTTGATACACTGCCGATTTTGCAGGTTTTCCTACTTACAAAGCATGTAGAGGTCTGTACTTTTTATCATAGGTACACTTCAACTGTGAGAGACGGAATCCAAAAATCCAGAAAATCACATTGTATGATTTTTAAGTAATTAATTTGCATTTTATTGCATGACATAAGTATTTGATACATCAGAAAAGCAGCACTTAATATTTGGTACAGAAACCTTTGTTTGCAATTACAGAGATCATACGTTTCCTGTAGGTCTTGACCAGGTTTGCACACACTGCAGCAGGGATTTTGTCCCACTCCTCCATACAGACCTTCTCCAGATCCTTCAGGTTTCGGGGCTGTCGCTGGGCAATACGGACTTTCAGCTAACTCCAAAGATTTTTTATTGGGTTCAGGTCTGGAGACTGGCTAGGCCACTCCAGGACCTTGAGATGCTTCTTACGGAGCCACTCCTTAGTTGCCCTGGCTGTGTGTTTCGGGTCGTTGTCATGCTGGAAGACCCAGCCACGACCCATCTTCAATGCTCTTACTGAGGGAAGGAGGTTGTCTCGCGATACATGGCCCATCCATCCTCCCCTCAATACGGTGCAGTCGTCCTGTCCCCTTTGCAGAAAAGCATCCCCAAAGAATGATGTTTCCATCTCCATGCTTCACGGTTGGGATGGTGTTCTTGGGGTTGTACACATCCATCCTCCAAACACGGCGAGTGGAGTTTAGACCAAAAGGCTATATTTTTGTCTCATCAGACCACATGACCTTCTCCCATTCCTCCTCTGGATCATCCAGATGGTCATTGGCAAACTTCAGACGGGCTGGCTTGAGCAGGGAGACCTTGCGTGCGTTGCAGGATTTTAATCCATGACGGCGTAGTGTGTTACTAATGGTTTTCTTTGAGACTGTGGTCCCAGCTCTCTTCAGGTCATTGACCAGGTCCTGCCGTGTAGTTCTGGGCTGATCCCTCACCTTCCTCATGATCATTGATGCCCCACGAGGTGAGATCTTTCATGGAGCTCCAGACTGAGGGTGATTGATCGTCATCTTGAACTTCTTCCACTTTCTAATAATTGCGCCAACAGTTGTTGCCTTCTCACCAAGCTGCTTGCCTATTGTCCTGTAGCCCATCCCAGCCTTGTGCAGGTCTACAATTTTATCCCTGATGTCCTTACACAGCTCTCTGGTCTTGGCCATTGTGGAGAGGTTGGAGTCTGTTTGATTGAGTGTGTAGACAGGTGTCTTTTATACAGGTAACAAGTTCAAACAGGTGCAGTTAATACAGGTATTGAGTGGAGAACAGGAGGGCTTCTTAGAGAAAAACTAACAGGTCTGTGAGAGCCGGAATTCTTACTGGTTGGTAGGTGATCAAATACTTATGTCATGCAATAAAATGCAAATTAATTACTTAAAAATCATACAATGTGATTTTCTGGATTTTTGTTTTAGATTCCGTCTCTCACAGTTGAAGTGTACCTATGATAAACATTACAGACCTCTACATGCTTTGTAAGTAGGAAAACCTGCAAAATCGGCAGTGTATCAAATACTTGTTCTCCCCACTGTAGGTTGTAGGTTGGGAGCTTTTGTGAAAGAGCACAGTTAGAAATATATGGCATATAGAAGCAAACCGGATGGACATCATGAAAATGTTCGGAGAGGTTGAGAGTAGAAGAAGTTCAGGAGCAAAAACAAATGAAATATATTTATTGTAAAATTGACTGTGTCCATAAAATGTAGAAAAATCTGCAAAATCGGCAGTGTATCAAATACTTGTTCTCCCAACTGTATTTAAAAAGGCCTTCTTTAATTGCGTAAGGGGGGGACACTTCAGGCTGATGAGTTTCACAGATCCCCATCTGCTACACTAATAACTAAGATCCAGCAAGGTTACTTATCAAAAGAGCGTGGTTTGGTGATCAATGCTCATATGATGAGAACCTTGCCTGAGACCTGAAGACGCGTTAGTTTGACATGTGTTAGTTTGTGTTAGACGTGTTAGTTTCAAGTTTCCGGCAAGGGTAGTCATTATAAGGTTAACGTGACTGACTGGGTTATTACTGTTAGCCTGTTGAGCTAAAGCCTATGCATTGGTCCTGTGACTTGGATGGGTCTCTTCAAGGAGGAGGTCAAAGGGGGGTGAAGCGTAACACAGTGGTTCGGTGGCCACGCTCGTGTGAGGAGTAACTTGTCTGAGACCTGAAAAGTTGCATTGTCTGGCACACAGGAGACCTGGGTTAGAACCCCATCAGTCAAAACTAACACGTCTTCAGGTCTCAGGCAAGGTTGCTCATCACGTGCATGGATCACCAAACCATCTCTGTTGCACTCTCATTAAATGGGGTGCACAGATCCTTCTGCTTTTGTTTGCCACAGAAAGTGTTGTTGTGCAGTTGGCCTGTTTTTGAACCCAGTCAGTTATATTGGTGTCGTGATCTCTGAGTATGAGGTCAAAGTGGGGTGAAATGTAACTGAGGTAGTTCGATGAACCAAGCTTTTTTGAAGAGTAACCTTGCTGGAGACGTGAAGACTTGTGTTAGCTTCCAGAACTCATCCCTATGGCCTTTAGCTAAGTGGGCTAACACAGTCTTGTGACATGCAGGAGACCTAGTTCGAACCCAGTCAGTCACAAGAGCAAGATTAAATAGGGAGTGGAAAGTCTATCCTTAGAAGGGCTATGACAGGGCTATTCAACTGTATTGTTATGGTGGCCAATTTCTTGAATGGGGTCATAATAGTTTATAGCCGCAACAGTTCAAATGCTAGAGCCAAATTCATAGGAAGAAAATACATTCAACATGCCACATTGGCTTCAGAAACCGCCAGAAGCTTCTGTTTACCACAGTGAGCGTTTAATTGTATCTGTTCTCCTCAACTTTTCCTGGCTGGCAAAGTACCAGGATGTTGTCTCTGTTTTTGAATCTGAATTTAGAGAACTGAATTTGAAAACTGAATTGGAATGCATTAGAGAAGTTGAATATATGAAACGTTGATCCACTTGAAATTATAGTATGTAAACTTGATACACAGACAATGAATGTAATATCTACCATACTGAATATATAAATATTCAATTTGAATATTGAATGAAATATAAAAAAAAAATTTTACTGAATGCAATATTCACTCAATTCAGTTTCATGAAATACAAGTTCAATTTATGTATTCAATGATTCAATTTGTGCATTACAAATTCAAAAATATTACATTCAAATTCAATATCCTAAAACAAATTAAAAACTATGGAATTCAAATACAATTTCTGTTGGCACTGAAATTGCGCCATACTGTTCTATGTGCGCTATTTCTATGCTTGCTGTTCTTAAGTTTTGTTTTTGCATCTTACTCAAAAGCTGAAAATATAATTATTTTTGGTTATGGAAAATATATTTCACAGTGGTTTAGATGGTACAATGATTCTCTACAGTTGACTTGCTTGTTTTGTCGCATAAACTGAAATTAGGCGAACTATTAGAATTTTTGCAACCAGGAAATGGCGGAGCGATTTCTGCATAGTGCATCTTTAAGGAACCACATTGTGGGCCTGTTACAATAAATAAATCATGACGGATTTGACGAATATCCACTTTGTTAGATCAGATTTGTTGAATGTGCACCAATCTGGTCAATGGAACGTCTGTGTTCCATTGACTCCTTTACCGCATCTATAGGCACATGTTGCTAAATGCAGATGTGTGTCCATTTCAGTCATTTTACCATTTCACTCTTTTCTCAGCGTATTGTAACATGGATGTGAAATGCACTTTAAATAGAACTTGACTTGACTTAACACTCCCTTTTCGTTCCAGGCTGACACTCCCAAAGAGAGCGTGCTGGGTGACGTGAGCGTTGTTGAGGTGGACGTGTTCGACAGGAAGTCGCTGTGTGAGGAGGACAAGGCAGGCCTGCCGCTCAAGAAGGACAAGTACCTGTCGGAGGAGCATAGCAGCGGCATTGGCGGCTCCTCCTGCCTGTCGTCGCCTCACCAGAGTGTCTCAGACAGCGACGAGGGCGGTGACTCGGGCCAGACCACGGCCAGCACCGTCCAGTACTCGTCGGTGGTGGCATCCTGCGGCTACAAGGGCCAGACCCCCTGCCCTCTCCCCCAGACCCCCCAGTCCAGCTCCTCCCAGTCCCAGACGCCCAGCTTTGCCCGCTCCGAGTCCACCCAACCCCTGCTGGACAGCGAGGAGCACCCGGAGGGCACCGAGTCGCACCAGCGCTACCCGCGGAACCCTTACTTCAGGCGCTTGCCTGGGGGGAACGACGGCGACAGCGCAGACCTGGGGGAATTGAACCAGCTGGAGATGGAGGCTTCGTGCCGGTTCTGCCCCCTGGAGCAGAACTCTCAGCAGACCACACCCACAGAGGAGGGTCAGTCCCCTGACGGACAGCCAGGCCCTGACCCTAGCTACATGCCTCAGCTCAGCGGCTACAGGCCTCAGTGTTAGGAGGACGTAGGGTTACTTTAGTTCGAGGTTGTCGCACTTCATGCACAGTTACTCTTCCCCTGCACCTTTGTTAATTTCACGTTTGTTTGAAGCTTTCAAATTCAGAATTATGTCAGCCTATTATTTTTGCACTTACCCAAATGGCAATCATGAACTTCATATGGACATCCTGACTTGCCTTGTTAAATCTCTTTTAAGTGAATGACATAGTTTGGCTCCAAGCTTTAGCCTGTATGTCGAGGTTTTATTGTTTTAACATCCTAAAAAGCAAATAGATGCCTACGTGTGGACCCATTTATTTTCAGTTAGTTACTGACCTAGGTAGTTACAATGACCACCTTTTCATGTTATTATCATAGTCGATTCCATTCATGTACAGCATATATGTATTCAACATATCTAGTCAGTCACAAACAGCAAAGTCGCAGAGCAGCTGGGTGGTGTTCAGCAGGCACCAAATGGAAGAAACAGGATGGAAGTAACTGGACACATTAAAACACATTTTTTTATTTTGCTACAGTTTGACCTAACCCATGTGTTCCCAGGATGGTAGATTCAATTCTATAGCACCCCTGTGTGTCATCAAATTTCCCTCATACTGACAAGGACCAGACAATGGACCTCAATAATGCTTATGTGATTCACACTGAATGGACAACATTTCATTGAAAAAGCCTCATCAATGCTGCTGACTGCTGTAGTTTCAAAAAGCGAACTTTGTACTGTTTATCATTCACTGATGTAGCGTCACCCGTTGTCGTCCGAAGAAAAGTGCATAGCCTAGATGTGGGCGCTATTCTTTACAAACCGGCCAAGTTTAACTTAGAATGTACAAAGTGTGATTACGCATCATTCCAAGAAAGAGGACTTGAAGGAAGTGAAAAGGCGATGCTAGCTAATACAACAGGACCCTCTTGAAATGCAGTACCTTCAGAAAGTATTCATGCCCCTTCACTTGTTCCACATTTTGTTGTATCCTAAATTCTAAATGGATTCAGTATAAAACATTCTCACCCATCTACACACAATACCCCATAATGACAAAGTGAAAAAATGTTTTAAATTTTTTTAGCAAATGTATTGAAAATGAAATACAGAAATATAATTTACATAAGTATTCACACCACCTTTGGCAGCGATTACAGCTGTGAGTCTTTCTGGGTAAGTCTCCAAGAGCTTTACACACCTGGATTGTACAATAAAATTGTCAAGTTAGTTGTTCATCATTGCTAGACAGCCATTTTCAAGTCTTGCCATAGATTTTCAAGCTAATTTAAGTCAGAACTGTAACTAGGCTACTCAGGAACATTCAATGTCGTCTTGGTAAGCAACTCCAGTGTATATTTGGCCTTGTGTTTTAGGTTATTGTCCTGCTGAAAGGTGCATTTGTGTCCCAGTGTCTGTTGGAAAGCAGACTGTACCAGGTTTTCCTCTAGGATTTTGCCTGTGCTTAGCTCTATTCCATTTATTTATTTATTTCCCCCCAAAAAAACTCCCTTATCCTTGCTGATGAAAAGCATACCCATAACATGATGCAGCCACCACCATGCTTGAAAAAAATATTAAGTGTGGTACTCAGTGATGTGTTGGATTTGCCCCAAACATAACGCTTTGTATTCAGGACATCACGTTCATTTCTTTGCCTCATATTTTGTAGCTTTCTTTAGTGCCTTATTGCAAACAGGATACATGTTTTGGAATATTTGTATTCTGTACAGGCTTCCTTCTTTTCACTCTGTCATGTAGGTTAGTATTGTGGAGTAACTACAATGTTATTGATCCATCCTCAGTTTTCTCCTATTGCAACCATTAAACTCAGTAACTGTTTTAAAGTCACCATTGACCTCATGGTGCAATCCCTGAGCGGTTTCCTTCCTCTCCGGCAACTGAGTTAGGGAGGACGCCTGTATCTTTGTAGTGACTGGGTGCATAGATACACCATCCAAAGTGTAATTAATAACTTCACCATGCTCAAAGGGATTTTCAATGTCTGCTTTTTTTATTTTGACCCATCTACCAATAGGTGCCCTTTGCGAGGCATTGGAAAACCTCCCTGGTCTTTGTGGTTGAAATTCAGTGCTTGACTGAGGGACCTTACAAGTAATTGTATGTGTGGGGTACAGAGACGAGGTAGTCATTCAAAAATCATGTTAAATACTTATTGCACACAGTGAGTCCATGCAACTTATTATGTGACTTGTTAAGCAAATGTTTACTCCTGAACTTATTTAGGCTTGCCATAAAAGGGGTTGAATACTTGTTGAATCGACATTTCAGCTTTTAATTTTGTATTAATTTGTAAATAAAATTGAAACATAATTCCTCTTTGAAATTATGGGGTATTGTGTATAGGCCAGTGAGAGACTATCTCAATTTAATCCATTTGAAATTCAGGCTGTAACACAAAATGTGGAAAAAGTCAAGGGGAGTGAATACTTTGAAGGCACTGTATGCTACACTAGTAGGTGTATGATTGGTGACACATCTTTGCAGGTAGAAAAACAGTTTGACAAATGTACATTTGCCTTTTTACAATGCCTTATTCCATTTTTTCAAAGTCTTGTTGACTTTCCGTCATGAATTCTGCTCAGAAGTCATAAGATGAGATCAACTGCCAAAGATCTTAAAACCCAGGAATTACAAAATGTTTCATTTAATTTTAATTATGTTTTGTCTTTCATTTCAAATGGATCAAGTAACAATGAGATCTTTATGACTTGTGGTTAAATGGAATTAGAAGTGAAGAAATGCAATGTAAGTTCCCTGCCCATTGAAAACATAATGTTCAAGGTCAGATTTAGAGATATTACTGTTGCATTATTATATATACTGAAAATGAAGTTTATGCTCAGAGAAAGGGATGTTACATTTAGACTTTTTGAATATTGCTACTTTGAGGGTTATGAAAAATATTCTGACACCATCACTCAGTTAACACTACTTTTCCACATATACGGGAAACATAACATAGCCTTGTATTTCCCTGCATGCCACCAGAATACATGTAACCTTTTTGGAGCATGGTTTGTGAATGTGTGACATTATACAGTATGAAATAAACCAAAAGTGTTATCCATGTGAACGAATGATTTATTACGCTTCTAAGTCAGCATAAGTGCTTTATTTTCAGTGAGACCTTCAACATTAACAGAATATATAGTCCATCGTATAAGGAGGAAGTAGGAGTTCACAATACAATATTATGGTATACTCAGAAAATAAAATGTCCTCCCCCTCTACCTTACCAAGTAGCTCCATTTATTTAGGGTCAAGAGTTGATTAAAAAAAAACATGATACTCAAATTTTCTCTATACCCATCATGAGGTTGCTACAATCTAGCCTATGAATGGAAGTTTACAACGTAGGTGCACACAGGTTGAGAGACAAATTTGAGGTGACAGACAGTTGCAAACGATATAGGGTGTAATCATTAGCCCAACAGTTGCAAACGAGTTTCTAATGGTCAAATTCAGGTATGTTTATCCCCGTTTTGTTCTGTTTGCTTCCATTTAAGAAACATTTTTCAACAGAATCGGTGGAATCAATACACCCCTGATCACGCATAAACAGAGTTCACACTCATAACAGCCACGTTGTATTCCTTCTCTTCCCTTAGCTTGTGGACTTCAATGCACAACACATCAGCTGTATGTGACCAGGCGAAAAAACCTTTCCAAGCCAAACCGCTACACACAGCCTACGTCGTTGTCACCATATTAGCTAAAGTAACGTCATAGTCAGCATAGCTAATAGAACTAAAGCGTTAGTAAATCCGCTACAATCATGCAGTAACGTTACAGTGTACAGTCAGTAAGCAGTTACACCAGCAGGCCCCGGTGGCAATAAATGAGCAATACCAAAAGCTTACCTTGACTTGGAAGAGTTCCAGTGTTTTGCTGGAATGTCATAGCCAGCTAGCTAACATAGCATCCCTCTGAGCAGGGTGTTTCAGTAGGCTAAACTAGCTAGCTGCATTTGCTAGCTAAGTGAAACTGAAAAAAAAGTGACTCTTTCTCTTGCTTCTCCTTTATTTTGGAAGAAATTAATTTGTTCAAAACTGTTCAACTATTGTCTCACTACTCACCACATTTTATACACTGCAATGCTAGCTAGCTGTAGCTTATGCTACAGCTAGCTAGCATTTCCTTCCATATCCTTGTCTGTACATAATGCCCTGAATCTTTTCTACAACGCCCGGAAATCTGCCCCCTTTATTCTATGTACCCAACGCACTAGAAGACCAGTTCTTAAAGCCTTTAGCCGTATCCTTATTCTAGTCCTCCTCTGTTCCTCTGGTGATGTAGAGGCTAACCCAGGCCCTGCAGCCCTCAGTATCACTCCTACTCCCCAGGCGTTATCATTTGTTGACTTCTGTAATCGTAAAAGCCTTGGATTCTTGCACGTTAATATCCGAAGCCTCCTTCCTAAGTTTGAGTTATTCACTGCGTTAGCACACTCCGCCAACCCTGATGTTCTAGCAGTGTCTGAATCCTGGCTTAGGAAGGCCACCAAAAATTCTGAAATTTCCATCCCCAACTATAACATTTTCCGTCTAGATAGAACTGCCAAAGGGGGTGGAGTTGCAATCTACTGTAGAGATAGCCTGCAGAGCTCTATCATACTATCCAGGTCTGTGCCCAAACAGTTTGAGCTTCTACTTCTAAAAATCCACCTTTCCAGAAATAAGTCTCTCACTGTTGCCGCTTGCTACAGACCCCCCTCAGCCCCCAGCTGTGCCCTGGACACCATATGTGAATTGATTGCCCCCCATTTATCCTCAGAGTTCGTACTGCTTGGTGACCTAAATTGGGATATGCTTAACACCCCCGGCCATCCTACAATCCAAACTAGATGCCCTCAATCTCACACAAATTATCAACGAACCTACCAGGTACAACCCTAAATCCGTAAACATGGGTACCCTCATAGATATCATCCTGACTAACTTACCCTCTAAATACACCTCCGCTGTCTTCAACCAGGATCTCAGCGATCACTG